ACTCTCCGCCTTTCTACTTAAGGCATCTGCAACTATATTTTCTTTGCCTGGATGATACAGAATGGTAATATCATAATCTTTCAGTAACTCAAGCCATATGTGTTGCCTTAAATTTAGGTCCCTCTGCTTGAACAAATGCTGCAAACTGCGATGATAAGTGTAAACATCACAAGGCACCCCATAAAGATAATGCCTCCAAAGCTTAAGAGCATGAACAATTGCAGCTAACTCCAAATCATGTACCGGGTAATTCTTCTCGTGAGGCTTCAGCTGACGTAAAGCATATGCAATAACTCGCCCCTCCTGCATTAATACACAACCCAAACTAATGCGTGAAGTATCACAACACACTGTATACATCCCCAATCCGGAAGGAAACACTAACACTGGTGTTGTAGTCAATGCTGTCTTGAGCTTCTAAAAGCTCACCTCACAATCATCGGACCATCGGTGCTTCAATAGATGAAAAGCCCTCCACAAACCGACGATAATAACCTGCTAAACCTAGGAAACTCCTGATCTCAGTCGCCGAAGTGGGACGATACCAATTCTGAACTGCCTTGATCTTTTTGGGATCAACTTTAATACCCTCGCCCGATATAATATGCCCCAAAAATGCTACAGAATCTAGCCAAAACTCACATTTAGAGAACTTAGCATATAGCTTTTGTTCCCGCAAGGTCTGAAGCACAACTCCCATGTGTTGCTTGTGCTCCTCCTTACTGCGCGAGTAGATCAAAATGCCATCAATGAAGACAATGACAAATGAATCAATATATGGCCTAAATACCATATTAATCAAATTCATAAGCGTCGTCGGGGCGTTAGAAAAATCGAAGGACATTACCAGAAACTCATAATGACCATATCTAGTCTGGAAAGTAGTCTTTGGAACATCCGAATCCCGAATCTTCACCTGATGGTACCCCGACCTCAAGTCGATCTTAGAGAACACCCTGCAACTGGTCAAATAGATCATTAATACGTGAAAATGGGTACTTGTTCTTAATAGTGACTTTGTTCAATTGGCGATAATCAATACACATTCGCATCGTTCCATCCTTCTTCTTCACAAATAATACCGGTGCACCCTAAGGCGATACACTCGGTCTGACAAACCCTTTGGGTAGAAACTCCTCAAGTTGTTCTTTCAAATTCTTCAATTCTTTCTGAGCCATGCAATACGGTGGGATAGATATAGGCTGGGTATCTGAAGCCAAGTCAATACAGAAATCAATATCACGATCTGGTGGCATTCCTGGGAGATCTGAAGGAAATACTTCAGAGAACTACCGGACTACGGGCACTAAATCAATAGTCGGAGTCTCTACAGTCCCGAACATAGGCTAGATAAGCTAAACAATCCTTCTCGACCATGTGTCGAGCCTTTAAAAAGGAAATAACCTGATTAGATGCACTAACAGACGAACACTTCCACTCCAACCTAGGCGATGCTGGAATAGCCAAGGTAACAATCTTGGCATGGCAATCTAGGATGGCATGATATGGAGATAATTAGTCCATGCCCAGGATGATATCAAAGTCGGTCATCTCAAGCAACAGGAGATCTGCTCTAGCTTCATAACCATAGAACGTAATAATGCAGGACTGGTAGATCCGATCCACAATAACAGAATCGCCCACAGGAGTGGACATATAAACAGGAGTACCCAAGGACTCACGAGAAACACCCAGGAAATGAGCAAATAGATATCACACATAGGAATATGTAGACCCTGGATCAAATAATACAGAGGCATCGTTGCCGCAGACACAAATAATACCCGTGATCACGGCATCTGAGGCATCTGCATTTTGTCTGGCCGGAAAAGCATAGAACCGAGCTGGAGCGCTAAGTTCACCCCAATTTCTTGTTAGCCAAGTTTTCCTAGACTTAGTCTCACTTTCTCAAGTATAGACTAAGTCAATTAGGCATGAATCAATGTTTGCAACCATCAATTCTCAAATTCAAGCAAGAACTAGGCTAAATATCATATGCCCAATCATAAATAAGCCATAAACCAATCACCCATTAAGTGCCCAAACTAGGGTTTGGTCACAACCCTAGCTAAGGGTTTAGCTACTCATGAAAAATGAAGAAATTAAAGAAGCAACTAAGATAAAATGCATAATAATTGATTAAGGATGTTTAAATGCTAAACTAGTACAAAGTTACCCAATGCAGTAAATAACAACGGCTCTAAGTGTTCAGGTGCAAAAACACTTCTTCTAAAAATGATAAAAAGATCTATATATACCCAACTAAAAATATCTGACAAAATTTCCCCTACGAAGGTTGTGCGACCGCACAATTTTGTGTGTGGTCCACACTTTGAGACTGACTGGTCAGGTTGGCTTTCTGCGGTCGCATAAAAGTGAGATGCGGTCGCTCTTCCTCTAATTGTGCGGACCGCACATTTCTGAGTGCGGCCGCACAATAATAGTGCGGTCCGCACATCTTCAAACTCCCAAACTACAAGTCTCTGAACCTAGTCTTCTGCGGCCGCATAATAATTGTGCGGTCCGCACTTTGTGAAGAAATTCTATCAGTGCATCTTCAGAGTTTGCGGTTGCACACAATATTATACGATCCGCATTGTAGCCATTTTTGCATTGTTTTGATTCTTGTCCAATTTTACTCCTTTTTGAGTTGATTTTCATTTTTTTGGCTTGTTTCCCAATATTCATGCAAGAAAGCACATTTCATTAGTTCTCGGGAATACCTTTAAGCATTTTTGAGCTAAAAAGTAAGTAAAAGAGAGCAAATAGGCGGTCAAAATCCCTACTTATCAACTCCCCCAAAATTAAGCTTTTGCTTGTCCTCAAGCAATTAAGGTAATTTCCCACCTCCACTAGAAAAAGGGCCATTTCAGCTGGCCTAAGTTGAATCAAACACAAATCAATTGGGACCAATAATTACCTACAGCTCATGAATAATTAACAAGCCTATGATTTTAATGTTAAAGCACAAATGGATCTAATGTGACATTTGAGTATCAAGGGTTGACTTTGTTCATCAAGAAAGCTCGCACTTTCATGCAGGTCACTATGGATCCCAAACTCCTCCTACTATACTCTCTGGAAGCTCATCTCACTCACGAATGAAGAATTCAATTCAATGACTCGAGAAAGATTCGCTCATCACTCTCAAAAGAATGTCACAAGCCCGGCTCTAAGTACCATATGCTTGCCCCTCATGTAGATCACCACTAATGTAAGCTTGCTCGGCTTGAAATCACGTAGGGCTTTTTCGGCATGTAATGATGGCTTTTGGACTAAGGAGGGAAATATCGGAATGGAATTGGCTCATCTTTCCTTTAGCACTTCATATTCTCTTTTTGGCTCTTACTTTGCCGACTCTTTGAATCATTTTCTTTTCCCTTAGGGGGATTAGAGAGACTTGACTTTACTCTTTCTTTTTCATGCTATTCATACTTTCCTTCTTTGTTTTCTCCATGCTTTAAACTTTTGCTTTCTTTTGCATCTTTTCAACCCTTTCACATTATTCACTTTCTTTTTGTGTTTTTCTTTTGTTCTTCCTTTCTTTTTCTTTGCCTTTCCTCTTCTTCATTTCTTTTCTCTTTTTATGCCTTGAAACCATATTTAAACTCCTCGCCTCTACCCCAAACTTATGTTTTTTCCATTTAAATCACATGAGTGCTAAAGAAAGTTCGGGTGCCAAGAGAGAGTCACTATAAAACGGGTAAAGGCTTGTAATGTGGTTATCGAATAAAAAGGCTTTAGGCTCAAAAGGGTTTACTAAGGATGATATCATTGGCGGGTCATGGAAGGTTTCAAAACGGGTCAAGGAAAGCCTACAATCACTTCTCAAGCCAGGCTAACTTAGCATTTCTCCTAGAAACACATTCGGGGCAAGTTCTAGACCACTCACATGGGTACTTGGACTTGTAACAAAATACCTCACCTCTCGCACAATCGGATTTTCAAAGAGAATAGAGTCGAGGGCCCACAACAACCGCACTCAAGATTAAAAATTGCTAATGGTTCAACTAAATCACCTGATGATTGCCTAAGTCAACACAAGAATCACAAGGTCACTAACTAGGGCTATTTCTTTACAAAAACTTATTTTTAACCATAAGTGTGTAGTTAAGTATGTTGGTACCAAGTGAAGCATGCTTGACCCTTACTTACTCATTAATACTACTTGTTTCTACCTAATCATCAAAAACTGACTCGATCCCTTAAGAAGGTTGTCACGCCATTCATCGTTGGGAAGAGCCACCAGGTTCACACAAGACCCACCTTCGGAAAGAACTGTAGCATTAAGAAAACCAAAGGCTTATTGTTCACTGAAACATAAAAAGAAGCTAACAAATCAAAAAGAAGCTAATAAAGTAACTAAGAAGCTATACTATTAAGAAAACAAAATGAAGAAGGTATGAAATAAACTACTGAAAGTAAGGCAAATGAATATACAAACCGAGGGGAATAGAATATATACAAGAAGGGTGAATATATGCATAATGAGGGAGAAAATAAAAATAAAAGAAAAAGAGTATTAAAGTTATTACAGGCCCAAAAGAAATCAAATGTCATCAAAATGTTATCACAGTCACCCAAAATGAACCAAAATAGACCACCCATAGAATAAGAACAAGCATTGTCCTCAATGCTTAGCAAAATCAAAACAAAAGAGGGTAGAGAGTAAAGAAAACTCCATATGTGGTCTCAGGGTGACTGGAAGCATCACCACCCTCAGTCTCCTCCAATTGTATCTCATCATCACCGGGCTGAGGGACAACAGGGTTGGTGAGCATCTGAAGCATCTCCTCAGCAGTGGGGGCAGTGAGATCTAGCTCGTCAGACTGGCCAGTTGGTGCCTCTGCTGATGGTGCTGCCGGGTCAGCTGGTACTGATGGATCTGTCTCCATCAGTAGGTCAAAAGACAAATCACCTGCTTCTGCTATCTTCGTCACCTCTTTTCTCAAACTCTCCACTACTTTCTTTGAAGCCTGGGATTTCCTCATCTTCTTCACCTACTTGGTTAACTCCTCAATAACACCCCCGTAAGCCACTAATGTATCTATAATAGTCTTCTGGTTGTTCAGAATCTTCTTTAATGTTTCCTCCACTGACAGAGGAACTTGTGGTGCTACTGGGGTAGAGGAATGCGCTACAATAGTACTAGATATGTCAGACAAATTAGAAGTGGTTGTCTGCACCTAGTTGTTGAGACTCGCCAAAGTTTGGGAGACTCACAGAGCAGTGAGAGGATAAGTGGATGAGGCTGGCACTGGTACTGCAACTGATGGCTTAGAAGATGAAGGTGGTGGCACGGCTGCTGTCCCGGTGGAAGGCCCGGCTGTTATGGAAGGCATGGGAGCTGTAGATGGCTCAGCAGCAGCCTCGGAATCCACCACTGATGGCTAGACTGACCAATGGTGGTAGTGACCTTACCCTTGAACTTTGGGTTGTCAGCACCCTGCAGGTGGTACCATGAGAAAGGCTTCATGGCCTTTAATTTTGTGTCATATGGTCTCGGCTCCACCTTGGCATCATTGAAATACTCTGTGAGGGTGTTTGGATAAGGGTAGGACTTTTCACTTTTTCGGACCGCCAATGTAATGTTGGTTGACATGATGGCACCCACATTGATCGGGTACCCCACCATAATAGAAGCCACTAGAACTGCCGGGGAAGTAGGAGTTTGTTCTTATTCAAACTCAGATCAATCCGACTACACACAAAGGTTTGCCACCCTTTAGTTTCAACATTGAGGGTGGCCCGGAGGATAGGAACTCCTGCTGTAATCCATGATGGTGGTGGTTCTCGGGCGGCCAAAATCTCAGCTAGCCAAGGGCGAGCTGCATCACCCAGAACCAACTTCTCTAGGTACTAGTATGTCTCCACTTCTTCGAATCCCACATAAGTGTTCAAAGAGCAGGCGTCGAATCAGACTTTCAAATTTCTCATCTTTGTCACTTTTGCCCCCTTCTTGATGTGAGCCACATTGGCATAGAACTCCCTGACCAAGTGCTCATTTGCATCGATGACACTGTGGGTGAACCACTTCCACCCCTTGCGCTCCCGAAACTATTTAAGGACATTTGGATTATGAATATCCAAATCCTTTATTAATAATAGTCACTCAAGTGTGAGCGACCTCTGGGGCTATAATTCCCGAAACCTGTTGAAGGCTATCAAGCTCACGAACCGATCCTCCCATATTTCCTTTTTTTCGACCTCTCAAGGCCGCCCACTTGAGTGTCCCCCCTCTACCATCATACGGGACATCATCATCAACGACATCAATAGCTACCAGTGCCGAAGGAGTAGGTGTAGAGGAGGGCTCGGAACCCTCGCTTCCCACATCAGAACCCCTAGAAGAACTAGATGTAGGTTCGTTGCGCAATTGATAACTCCTAATAGGTTGGGATGGTTAGGACTGGGCCTCAGGTTGGACCTCCATTGAATAACCCTCGGAGGCTTCCCTGGATGGGGCATAGGAACTGGATTCTAAGGGCTCTGTGGCCCTTCCTCTCCTGGTGGTCGGCTTTTTAGTAATAGGCTTCGATTGCACTCCTAGAGGGTGAGTGCCTTTTCCTCTGCCTCGAGAGGATTCACCTCTACCTTTTGATATATCGCCTCTACCACATGATCTAACCATTGTCTGCAATACAAGGTACATAGGTTAGTTGAGTTCAAAATAATTCAAACATTTGCAGAACAATTGCAGCACAACAGTCATCAAAGGAGATAGTGCGGACCACACAATTCTGAATGCGGCCGCAGACAGTTTAGTGAAGATCGCACAATTTTGAAGTGCGGTCGCACACCCTGAAGTGTGGACCGCATAATTGTGAGTGCGGACGCACATCCTGGAGTGCGGACCGCATAATTTTGAGTGCGGCCGCACAAGTCCAATCCTGAGATACTGATTCTCTGAAGTTCAAAAGTGTGGTCGCACACATTTTTATGCGGCCGCACAATTGTTCTGTGGATCGCACAATTTTGAGTGCGGTCCGCACTTTTCAAGCACAATATTTTCCCTAATCAAGTGGTTTGCGGACCGCACAAATTAGTGTGCGGCCGCACAATTTGAACATTTACAACAGTAAGGTTAGGGTTCATGCAATTTTTCATAATTTGGACATGGAATGCACAAATTAACATGATTAATGGTCTACCCAGTCCCTAATGAACATATATGAAACTACCCACATAAATTTTAATAACATTTGACATTTTTAGGCCTAAAAATAACTAAACTAATCAAATATAACAAAAACAAAAATTAAGAAAAATGGACGAAAATCTAACATGGATTGAACATACCAGTAATGAATGATGCAGGTGAGAAACTAACTTGATGAACGGAGTGTGATTTGTGAACTATTTTGTGATGCACAGTGTTTTCTTAGGGCTTGGAAATTCTGAGAATGTAAAGTGTGAATAGTGTTGAAAAGCCCTATTTATAGTTTGACCAAGTCGGTCAAAAAGTTAGTTGAGTGCGGCCGCACAATTTTGAGTGCGGTCCGCACTCTTTACCTGCTCTTTGAACTGAACTTCTGCGGTCCGCACAAAAGTGAGTGCGGCTGCATAAATTTGTGCGGTCTGCACAATTTTGTGTGCGGCCGCATTTTGGCCAATTTTCTGCAAATCCAAACTTTAGAGAGTTCATGTTTTTGGGTCTCCAGGTGTGTGGCCGCACAATTCTGCTCTGCGGTTGCAATCATTTTTGTGCGGTCCGCACAATTTTGGTGCGGTCTGCATAATTTCAACACTTGGCCAATTTTTTTAATTATAGTCCCTGCAATGCACACTCATTCCTGCAATTCACTTCAAAACCAGTTAGCTCAATACAAAACCTATCTAAAAAGGAAGAATATGAAAAAATGAAAAAAAAAAACATGTGTTGCCTCCCAAGAAGCGCCTGATTTAACGTCGCGGCACGACGCAGGTTACCATCAATCACTTGAAATGAATCAACGCCACAACGTGGCCATCATCAACCTTGCCAAGATAATATTTTACCCAGTGACCATTGACTCTAAACACTTCATCATGCTTGTTCTTCAAGTCTAATGCACCAAAGGGTGTCACATGCACAACCTCAAATGGACCACTCCGCTTGGACTTCAACTTTCCCAGAAACATCCGCAACTGAGAATTGAACAATAGAACAAGATCGCTTTCTTTGAACTCCTTATTCCGGATGTACTTGTCATGGAGGTACTTCATCTTGTCCTTGTACAAGGACGAACTTGAATATGCATGGAGCCGGAATTCATCAAGCTCATTCAGTTGTGCCACCCTTAAGTTGGCGGCGACATCCCATTCAAGATTAAGCTTCTTCAATGCCCACATAGCCTTGTGCTCAAGTTCCACCGGTAGGTGACAAGTATTCCCGAACACTAACCGATATGGAGACATATAAATCGGTGTTTCGTAAGCCATCTTATAAGCCCAAAGAGCATCATCAAGTTTTTTTGACCAATCCGTCTGGTTGGCATTCACGGTATTCGACAAAATACTCTTGATCTCCCGGTTGGAAACTTCAACTTGCCCGCTTGCTTGAGGATGATAGGGGGTCGACACTTTGTGAGTAACACCATACTTTGTAAGTAAGGTATCAAAAGCTTTGTTGCAAAAGTGCGATCCCCCATCACTAATAATGGCCCTTGGAGTACCAAACCTTGTGAAGATGTTCTTTTTCAAAATTGCCACCACACTCCGAGCTTCATTGTTGGGCAAAGCCAAGACTTCAACCCACTTTGACACATAATCCACAGCTACCAATATGTAAGTGTTCCCACAAAATCTCATGAACGGACCCATGAGATCAATGCCCCACACATAAAAAATGTCAATCTCTAAGATGGTGGTGAGGGGCATCTTATTTTCTTAGAAATCCCACTGGCCCTTTGACATTCATCACAACGCTTGACGAGATTGCTAGCGTCGTAGGCCAATAGAATCCACAACTCAACACTTTTGTTGTCGTTCTAGATCCACCATGGTGACCACCATATGGCGTAGAGAGGCAAGCCTCAAGAATTTCCATTTGTTCCTCCTCTGGTACACATCGTCAAATCACACCATCGGTACAAATTCGAAAGAGATAAGTATCAGACCAATAATAGTCAAGGCAATCCTGTTTGAGCTTCTTCCTTTGGTTTGAAGAGAACTCATTCGGTACAATGCCACTCACAAGATAATTGGCTAAGTCAGCGAACCATGGCATCCCGGTCATAGAAATGGCTAGGATTTGCTCGTTGGGAAATGAATCATTTATCTCAAGGACATCATGTGTCCTCCCCTCCTCCTCCAAATGAGATAAGTGTTCCGCCACTTGGTTTTCACTAACTTTGCGGTCTTGAATCTCTAGATCAAACTCTTACAAAAGAAGCACCCACCGCATTAGTCTTGCTTTAGAATCTTTCTTGCTCATCAGATATCGAAGCGCCGCATGGTCGGTGTGAACAATTACCTTTGTACCCATCAAGTACGGGCAGAACTTCTCCATAGAAAAAACAATAGCAAGGAGCTCTTTTTCGGTCACAGTGTAGTTGACTTGGGCATCATTCATGGTCTTACTAGCATAGTAGACCAGATGGAAGATTTTGTTGATACGTTGCCCTAACACCGCTCTAACCGCCACATCTCTTACATCACACATGAGCTCGAAAGGTAAGCTCCAATCTGGTGCGGTGATAATAGGAGTAGTAGTCAACTTAAACTTGAGCAATTCAAATGCCTTCATACAATCTTCATTGAAATAGAACTTGGCATCCTTCTCCAAAAGATTGCACAAGGGGTTTACCACCTTAGAAAAGTCCTTGATCAATTGGCGATAGAACCCCACATGACCCAAGATGCTCCTCACTCCCTTCACGGATGTAGGGGGAGTTTGGAGATCACCTCAATTTTGGCCTTGTCGACCTCAATACCATGCTTTGAAATTTTGTGGCCGAGGACTATGCCTTCTTCGACCATGAAGTGATATTTCTCCCAATTCAAAACTTAAGTTTGTCTCTTCACATCTTGCCAAGACCTTATCCAAGTTGTTCAGGCAATCATTGAAGGAATTCCCAACCACAGAGAAATCATCCATAAAGACCTCAAGAAAATCCTCCACCATGTCGGTGAAGATGGCCATCATACACAGTTGAAAAGTCGTCGGTGCATTGCATAACCCAAATGGCATCCACGAGAATGTGAAAGTACCGTAGAAACAAGTGAAAGTAGTCTTCTCTTGGTCCTCAGGAGCAATGAGAATTTGATTGTAGCCGGAATATCCATTAAGGAAACAATAAAAAGCTCGTCCGGCCAACCTATCAAGCATTTGATCAAGAAATGAAAGCGGAAAATGATCTTTATGAGTGACTTTGTTGAGCTTCCTTTAGTCCAGGCACACTCTCCACCCGGTCACCGTTCTTGTAGGAATCAATTCATTCTTGTCATTGGTGACCACAGTCATACCCCCTTTCTTTGGGACACATTGCACCGGAGAGGTCCAGAGCTATCGGAAATGGGGTAAACTACCCCGGCATCCAACCACTTTATGATCTCCTTCTTCACCACCTCTTTCATTGCTTCATTTAATCTTCTTTGATGTTCAATGGAGGGTTTTGCATCCTCCTCCAAAATAATCTTGTACATACAAAAGGCGGGGCTTATACCCCGAATATCCGCCAGTGTCCATCCTATAGCTTTCTTCCTCTTTTGAAGCACCGCCAAAGTAGAATCTACTTGCACGTTAGTCAAGCAAGAGGAAAGAATAACAAGTAAAGTAGAACATGGGCCAACAAACTCATACCTGAGATGTGAAGGCAATGTCTTTAACTAGGGGTGGGCATATTTTGGTCCGAACCGAAAAAACCAATCGAACCGAAAGTATTTTTATATCGGTTTTGGTTATTCAATTTTTCGGTCGGTTTCGGTTTAAAATTTTAAAATTTTAGTTTTTCGGTTCAGTTTTCGTTTATTAATTTATTTGGTTCGGTTAAACGAAAAATAGAATTATTAGCAAACACATTTTATAATCTAAACCGAATTTAGTGACTGCACTTTTTCGTTCTTTTCTATAATTAAGACAGTTAAGTCTTTCTGGAAACACATTTTATAATCTAAACCAGATGTCTTCCTAAGGTTGAAGAACAGTTAAAAAGAAATGAGACAAATAATTGAAAACTTATCTGGTTGTCATCATCTCCATCCCCATCCAAGAGGAACTTCAGGTTTCATATGCAATAACCTTTATGTCATAATAAATGATTTGAAGGGGAAAAAAAGAGAGGAAAAGATAATGCTTCATATTCTGTCTTCTCTCGTTCCTTATGTTTATTCAATTACCCCCTATATGCTGAACTTTTTATTATTAATTTTGTTATTTCCAAATTTATTGTATAAGTGTATTCTGCTTCTTGAACATGCATGCAAATACTACTTCTCGGGTCTCATGGGCTTCACCTGTTATACATTTCTCAATAGCAGCATTTTCTGCAATCCTTTCAATTCCACTCGATACGAGTCATTTCTTGTTTATTTTTTTAAAAAATCCTATGTTGTCAAAAGCAGATGGCATGCATGAACTTCAAAAATAAACTACTGCAATTAACTCCATATATATCCAGCATCAGGTCAGTTTTTCTCGAATCAAGACTG